TGTTACCCTTCCCTGTAATATTTTCATTGTATCTGGCCTTACATTGAGGTCAATTTAGAACTGATTCTGGTACAGGGTGATATATAAGGATCTAGCTTCAGTTCTCTGTATGTGGATAGCTGTTTTTGCCAGCACCATTTGTTCAAAAGGCTAGCTTTCTTCCAATCTATGTTTATTTTTGCTTCCTTATCAAATATTAGGTGGCTATACATCTGTGGTTCATTTCTGGGTTTGTTATTATGTTTCATTGGTCCTCAGGCTTATTCTTGTGCCAGTATCAACCTGTTTTTTTATTTTTATCAGTTGCTGGGCTTCAAGTTAGGGCCTGGATGATGTCTGTGAGCTTTTTCACTCAAGGCTATAACTCTACCACTTTGAGCCACAACACCTCTTCCAGTGTTCTGGTGGATAATTGGTGATAAAAATCTCATGGAATTTCCTGCTTGGACTGGCTATGAACTGTGATCCTCAGATCTCAGCCTCCTGAGTAGCTAGGATTATAGGTCTTAGCCATCAGTGCATGGCTTGCTGTTTCTTTTTTTAAAATTACTATGGCTTTGTAATGGAAGTTGAAATTTGCTATTGATACTCCTCCAGCACTGTTCTTTCAGCTAAACATTGCTTTTGCTATTCAGGGTATTTTATTAGTTTATATGAAATTTGGATTTAATTCTCTATTTCACTGAAGAATGTTGTTGGGATCTTGATGGCTATTTCATTGAATTTTACTCAATATATATCAGACAAGGGCCTTATATCTCAAATGTTCTTAGAGGTAAAATAATTACCTCCTCCTCCAATAAGCTCCCAATTAAGAAATCAGCTAAAGACTTAAAGAAAGAATTCTCAGAAGAAGAAGTAACAATGGTCAATAGATACATGAAGAAATATTCAATATCTCTGTTCATAGTAGAAATGCAAATCAAAACAATGTTGAGGTTACACCTCACCCCAGTTAGAATGGTCATTATCAAGAAATCTAAAAATAACAGATGGTGGTGGGGGTGTAGCCAAAAGGGAACTCTATTACACTGTTTGTGGGAATGTTAACTAGTTCAACCACTCTGGAAAATAGTGTGGAGGTTCCTCAAAAATTCATCATAGAGCTTCCCTTGACATGCAATTCCACTTCTGGGCATTTATCCAATAAAACACAAACAAGGCCACATTAAAGCCACCAGCACAACCATGTTCATTGTATCATTGTTTACCATAGCTAAGATATGGAATCAAAGCAGATGACTCTCAGTGGACAAATAGATCAAGAAAATGTATATAAACAATGGAATTCTATGCTTTCATCAGAAAAAATGATACTGTACCATTTGTAAGGAAATGGAAAGACATGGAAAATGTATGTTAAGTAAAGTAAGCAGGACCCAAAGAAACATAGGTTGCATTGTTTTTCTCATTTGTGGTAAGTAGAATATGCCTACATATCTGCAAGTAAACACAATGCATGGTAAAAGAAAAAAATACTTGGAGATGATAAATCAAACAGGACTCTGGATATTCACACAGTGAGAAGATATTATTAGGAGAGGATCACAAAGGCCCAATAGCTATGTGCATCTGATTATATAAAATAATATTCATCAAAGTGAATTCCAGGAAATGGAAACAAGAGTTTTTTCTCTTTGTTGCTGTTTTTCCTTTTCTTTTTGTTTCATTTGTTCATTTATCTGTCTTTGGGAGGGTAAGGAAGGGCACCAACTGTGGGACAGTAAAATAATGCAGCAATGATACTAGATACTCTGTTGAAAATGAACTACACAACTTGTGGGTGGAAATGGTAGGGAAACACTGGGAGAGACATGTAGTCTTTATCTGATTTATGTAACTCTTCTGTATATCTTTACAATAACAATAAATAAGTTAAAACAAACTTTAATGAAGCACTGACACTGAAGGCATTTGAAGCCAAACAACTAATTTCTTTGATTATTAGCTTTTCTAATGCTTAATTCTCATTTTATTGGCCCTCATGTTAAATGCTCTTGACAGTAAATAAATAAATAAAACAAGATACAAAGAGACACAGGAAGCTGTTGAAGGTGATGGATATGCTTATTTTACTTGTTATAATAATAATTATTTTAATGTTAATACATATACAGATGTATGTGGATGCCCAAACTTACCAAATTGTGATATTAATTATATTTAGATTTTATATATCAATTATGTCTAAATAAAACTGAAAAACAAACTTTCCTTAAAAACAAACATCTTTAGATGAGATGAGAAAGACATATGCAAAGCATAATCTCCATTGGGGAACATTTAAACCATTGGGTATGTTCATGTTTTCACACACATGCATCATTTGTGGTAAGTAGAACGTGCATCAAAGTACTCAGGAAGAAACCAGATGTGGTGACTCATACCTGCAAATGTACCTACTTTAGAGGCTGCTATCAGGGCCAGCCTACGCAAAAAAGTTCACAAGTTAAAACAAAAAAAGTTGGGTATGGTGGTATGCACCTGTCATCCCAGCTACACAGGAAACACAAATAGTAAGATTTTAGTCCAGGCTAGCCTTGGCATAAAAGCTAGACCCTATCTGAAAAATAAGAAAATAAAAAGCTAAGGGTATGGCTCAAGTGGTACAGCACCTGTCTTGTGAGTGCAAAGCAAACCCCAGTAACAAACCAACAAAACAAAAATCACAAAAGCAAAATGAAAACCATCTGAAGGAGTTTGGAAGTTCCCAACTCATGGAGAATGTGAAATGTTTATAGGAGCTCAAAGTGCTTATCATCCTGATTTTGTCACTATACATTGTACAACTGTATTGAATAATCATAACATACCTCACATAAATGTACAAATATCACTTCTACATAAAATTGATATAAGAAGAAGGAATCAATGGGACTAGGATTCTAAGATTTTTAAATGTTATTTTTGTTTTTCTTAGTTATATCTTCTGGATTTCCCCACATCATGCATATAGTAATAAAATAAGCAGAAAAAAAGAAAATAGCACTTGTTATTAAATATCAGGTACAGAAAGCACAAATAGGGTACTACCTCTTGATTTTCAGTGCAAATAATGATTTCAATATCTTCATCAGATGCATGAAACACAAACTTGTTAGAAGACAAGAAACCAAGTTAAAGAAATGAAAGAGAAGAGCAAGCTAGCAGGACTATCAATTGAGAAGATATACATAAGGTAGAAAAATTGTATCAGGCTAGCAAATTAAGACATCATTTCTGAAAAGACAAGGGACTATGATTCATCATAGGACACTTAGAATATATGTGAAATTGAGCATTATGATTATCTATTGAGCTCAGTCAACAGTAACAGCTATCATGTTGGAAGAGTTTACAGTGTACCCCAAATCCCTTTCTTTACTTTCATCCGATCTACAGATGAAGAACTTGAGGGCTAGGAGGTTCATTGCTTAGTGGGAGAGTTAGTTCCTGTCGTTTGCCAGCTTAGTTCATACTAGCGTGGGACAGATGTCTCAGCGGGATACCTTTTGTGTTGCCTTGCCTCTGTTGTTCAGTGTCTGAGACACCTGAATAGGCCTCCTTAATTGAGCACTTGGGGAGGGATGAATTTATCTGTGAGAAATCAGATGAGAGAAAGAATGCTTTATGGCCACAGTTCTCCAATTTCAGCACAGAATAGGAATCCAGTCCCAGGTTTTGGATTCTGCAGTTCTGAGGAGTTGATGATTCCTACTGTGATGACCTAGCTGCTGGTCCAGGAGACACATTGTAGTACAGCTGGCTTGGTTCCAGGTGCCATAGGGACTCTGGGATTCCAGGTGCTCCTCACTTTGAGGCTTTTCACAAAGTTCAAGCACTGACTTGTGGTAGACAGAGTCAGATTTGACATTTTGGCCGGATTCTCAGGTTATATGCATACATGCACAAGTTTGGAAGGCAGTGCTGTAATAGGTTCCCAAATATGACTTTGGAAAACTGAACCAAGGTGTGGCATTCAGTGTATTTCTTTTCTTAATATATATACATTTTATTGTAAAGATACTGTACAGAGGGGTTACAGTTACATGAGTAAGGTAATGAGTACATTTCCTATCGAGCATTGTTATGCGTTGGCAAAATAGTAATGCAGAACTTATACATTATGGTACAGCACTAAAGACTTCCAATGCTCCCACTGGTGGGGATGGAAAAATTCAGTTTTAGTTTCCCCATCAGGAAAACTGTTGGAATAGGTGAGTGTGATCTATGTTTATACTGCAAATTAATTCCACAATGGCCAAAACTGAGGGAAACTAGCCTTGGGCAGTGGGTAACGAATAATGAAAAATGAATAAGCCACTTGCCTGTCCACACTGCAGTGCTCAGAGTCCGCTGTTAGCTGATGGCCTGCTGCTGATACTGTGGCCTTGACTTTATCTCTAGGGACAAGTCTGTCCTGTGGCTGAGTGGGTGGTGTCCGGGAGGAAATACAGGGCCAGATGGTGAAGAGAGTCTATCACACTTGCACTCTTCCTGTTTGCCACATTAGCCTTGGAGCTGACTACTAAAAAAACCTTTGTTTCTCTAACTACCTCAACAGCCTTGCTTTCTCTGCTTCTTTTACTGCTTCCCATTTTGTCTCCAAGGAAAACAAAATGTTGATCCGTGATTTAATTGTCATAACCAGAGACAATGAATTTTTTATTATCCCAGGAAAACACTTTGTCTTTGAAAGAGAACAGCATATGGAATCTGGAGGGTTCAGATTCCTTAGGAATAAGCAAATCCTTACCCTTTCACCTGAGACTTCCTTGAAGCAAAATGACTGTTACATTTACTGTGTCATGTTTCAACTGGACTCCCCCTCCCCCGTACCACATGTGCTATGCACATATTATGCATTTCCCTTGTCTTCTTTTCCCCTCCCCTTAAAAACTGGTTTGTGCCTCCTCTATCATATCCAGTCCTCTGGCAGCTTGTGATTGGCTAAATCATAAGCCAATGAGGTCAGATGCAACATCCTGCCTTAAGCTTTTGACCTAGTGTTGCTTCCTCAAGAGAGGTGTAAAACCTAGAAACAGAGAAGAAGAGCAGTCGAGTCCCAGTGAGAGGATGGGAAACTCTCTCCTGAGAGATCTCAGGTGAGTCCTGACTGAATGCTGTCTTCCTTGGGAGAAAGCTGAGAATGAATTTGTAGCAAGGGTGGACTTTAAGAAGATTGAATCTGAGGATGATCTCCTTAAAAGACCAGGGGCTGTGGCCAAGGGTCAAAGTGCTAGCCTTGAACACAAAGTGAGTTAGGGGTTACATGCAGGCTCTGAGTTCAAACCTCAGGACTGGCCAAAAGAAATGGGTTTCAATTCAGCATGTCAGTTTATGAGTATAATGTATCTTGAGCAATGATATTCCTTCCATTATTCTTCCTCATCTTTCCTTTCTCTCTGTTTTTCCTGAAGTTTGAATTTAAATTTGAATTCTGTATCTTACCTGGAGGTTCTAGACCTGATCACTTAGATCTTTCAGCTCCTCTTTTCTGTTATCTGGAGATCCAGGGCTTATCATCCTATCTGTTGGCTTCATGAAGTCAACATGAGAATGGCAGTTCCTGAAAAGCATGTTCACAAAATATGTGCTTTTGGTTGGAGTAATGCTTTTCAGTGATTTTTAGTTCTTCAGTCTTTGAATGGTTGGGGCTAATGTATATTATGTATATAACATCATAGAGCATTTTCATTGCTCTGAAAACATGCTGTTGGTCCATCCATTCATTCCTCCTCTGCTCAAGCCCCTGAAAAATCACTGATCTTTTACTGTCTCTTTAGTTTTACTTTCATGGCATATAGTTATAATGTTTGGTAGATAGAATGTTTGGTTGTTTTCTTTCACTTGGTAATATACATTAGTGTAAGAAAATTACACAGGTGTTCTCCATTACTTGAAATGAACCACAAAGCTCTGATTATTTGAGAGCATCCTTCTCTAGAATTTGTGTCCTTGAAGAGAGTGGATTTATGTTATATTTCATACCTCTGGAACAGGAGAGTCTACCTGTAGAGGACAATGAGGCATACAGTACAACCTTCTGCAGATTGTTTATATGCAGTGTGAAAACACTAAGCACAAAGTAGTAAAGATTTTTCTTTTGTAAACTTATAGCTGATGCATGAATTGCATACAGAATGCAGGGGTCCTTTTTGTCATTGATCTCTCTGCTCATCTATCTAAGTGATATTGGTACATACTATGCAAACGTACCTTAATAAACTAAGAATAATGCAGCAATTTCTTAGTAATGAGACAAAAGCTACTGAATTATCAGGCGATAGGATTTTAATTGTCTTTAGTATTTGTTCATGTCTAGATAATGCTAATTTTTCAAAAGTGAGAATTTAGTGTATGGAAATATCACATTAATTACAATAATACGTATAATCAATATATGTTAAGCCAACAATTTAAAGTAAGATTAATCATACAAAATTCATATTGCCGTCGGTAGAATCACATACTGTCCAGATTTCTTTAGGCAGCATAAAACTTATTTCTTGAAGGAATTCATGGAGCTGGGGGTATAGCTTAGTGGTGGAGTGTTGCTTGGCCATGGCTTCAATATCCAGCATAGAAAAAATTTTATTTAATATCCATCCTTGTTCATATGATAACTATTCTGTAAAAATCATCTAATCCTCATTCATTCACTCAGTCAGGAGTAATGTAATCTTAGGAAATCATGGAAGGCTCCAAGCAAATAAGGCTCTATGTCTCTACTATTGTCTTGAAGAAAGATATTAAACCAAAATAAAGAAAAAGAAAATGATTCTTAAGATTGAATCTGCTCAATGCTCCATCATTTGACCGTTTCTTTTAAGAGTCTGCTGGAAACTAAGTTCTAGGTGCCAGAGATTGAAGCAATGGAGGCCATGTTGAAGGGGATGGAGCCATGGGCTTTCTAAATATGACGGAGCCTCTTTTTGTATTCGCTTTAGTAAATAATTAAGCAGGAGTGATATTTTAACTTTTTAGTGTTTTACAAAATGATTAGAAAAAAGAGAGTATATTAGATTCTTTCTTAATAAGCTGCAGTGAAAAATTTTTGTACAATTTCTCATAAAGTTGATGGTACACTAAAAATGAGCAGAGAGGAGCTGAACTGCTGGGCAGGGTCTAAGAGCACTGAGGCCCACATCTACCAGATAAGATTGAAAGTCCTGAGTCCAGACTTGCTAAATCATAAGACTTCTATGGTCTCTGTCTACCACAAAAAGTAAAATGGTGAGAGGGTCTACAACTACTGAGACAAGCAGGTGTAGTAACTAGGCTTCTCAGTGCTCCTAAAGCCATATAGTGGCTTTAGCTAACAGCCAGAAGTGGGTATTATACAAAAACAAGGTAATACTCCATAGGGAAAGCAGCCCAGAGGTGAATAACTGACCCCATCTACCAGAGATTCCAATGAGTCTCCACCTTTATCTGAGAAGTGCGGGGGATCAGATCTCATGCCCTGGGCACGTGGGCAAATGCTGGGCTACTGAGCCATACACTAAATTTAGTGGTGAGAAATAGCATCCCAACTCAGTCACTAACACTGTTCTTCCTGAACATTAGGACTGCTTCAGTGGATAGATTCTTGGTTTGGTGATTCTTAGTCACAAATGCACAAATTCCAGTTCAGAAATATGGCAAAACACAACAAAACGAAAGGTAGGGTGGACCTCCAAAACTGGAAAACCCTAATAACAAGGACTAATAATATTAAATATTAAATAATATTAAAATAGATACAAAAATTAAAGAGAACATGAACAAATACTTGAATGAATTCCAAGAAAACCTAAAGAGATGAATGAAAGTAGAAAGATAAGGCAAGAGATGAAAAAGGAAAGGTATTGAAATATTTAGACATTCAGAAATAGATCAAGTTGAACTGTTGGAATTGGAAAACTCACAAGATACAACAACTTGAAGTCCCTTCAGTAGACTGAATCAAATTGAAAACAGGCCATGAGGGATAGAAGGAAAAGCAGAGGTATTAGAGCATTCAGATGAAAGCAGATAAAAGAACTTAAAGAAATACAAACAAAACATGTGATATCTCTTGGACATCATTAAAAGTTAACAATCTATAAATCATCAGCACAGAAGAAGGACAAGAGGTTTGAGCCATGTCACAGAAAACAAAATCATAGCAGTAAAAGTCCAAATCTTGAGAAAGAGATGGGTGTCTAGGTACAATAGGCTTTAGAACTCCAAACAGAACAATCTTTCACATATCATATTAAAACGTCAAACATACATAATGAGGAAAGATCATTCACAGCTGAGGCAGACAGAAGCACAGAGTCACCTATAAGGCAAATATAGAAGAATAACAGATTTCCTGTTTTTAAATTTTTTATTATAAAGATAATGTACAGAGGGGTTACAGTTACATGAGTAAGGTAATGAGTACATTTCCTATCTAGCATTGTTACCCTGTCCTTTTTCCCCTACCATCCCTTCCCTGCCCACCTCTATTTCCCATCCCGAAGTTGTAAAGTTTGTTTTCAAAATAGAGTCTTGTATGTCTCATTGTTAAAATGGGTCAACCTGTATTCTTTTTTTTTGGGTCTGGTCGTGGGGCCTGAACTCTGGGCTCAAGGCTAGCGCTCTACCACTTGAGCCACAGCGCCACTTACCCACTTTTTTCTTTTTGCTTATGTGGTGCTGAGGAATTGAACCCAGGGCCTCATGCATGCAAGGCAAGTGCTCTACCAGTGAGCCACCTTCCCAGCCCTCAACCTGTATTCTTATTTCAGCATCTTGTTATTTCTCTTCCCTTTCCCAAATTAGAAAAATGTATATACAAGATTCAGGGCACCAGAATCAAATACAATGACAACAGGGGTTATACCATAGGGGAAAACTATACAAAAGCAACAAAAACCCCACATAGTACATTAAAAACAACAGGAACAAATAAACAAACCTCTTGTGTCCATATCTTGGGGTTCATTTCACTTAGCATCATCTTATAAGGTCATCAGTACATAGTTTTTGACCTTTTTCAGTTTGTCTGGTAAGATTATCCTAGGTGTATACTAGTTATTGCAAATAAGGGAAACCATGGGACCATGTTTCTTTGGGTGTGGCTTATTATATTTAATATAATTTTTTCCAAGTCTTAATGGAGACCTTAGAAGCAGAGAGGGATTAGAATGATGGCACTAAAACAACTCTCAGTATAGATTACTGTACCCAGCAAGGGTATCCATATTAAAGAAGAAATAAAACCTTGAGTAATAAACAAAAGCTAAAGCAGTTTATGACTAGTAAACCAGCACTGCAGAGCAACATAGTGAAGGGAGACCTGCACAGAAGAGACAAACACACCCAAAGATATGGAAAAAGAAAACTCTTACTAGAAATGTATATAAGCAAATGAAGACTTAGGGAAAATCAAACTATAAAGCAAAAGAATGACGGGAATTATTACATAACCTTCATTAGTAATGAAATGGGAATTTCATTAACTGAATGTTAATAGTCTCAATTCTACATTCAAGGACACAGTATGGTGGAATGGATTAAAACACAAGACTTTAGTAAGTCACTAGTGGCTCTCACCTATAACCCTAGAAACTCAGGAAGCTGAAATCTGAGGATCATGGTTCAAAGCCAGACTGGGCAGGAAAGTCTGTAACATTCATCTCCAATTAGCCACCAATAAGATGGAAGTTGAGTTGCGGCTCAAGAGGTAGAGTGTCAGTTTTGAGTAAAAATGCTCAAGGACAAGTATCAGTTTAAGCTTCTGTACTAGTACCAATCAATCACCACACACACACACACACACACACACACACACACACAGACACATACACACACGCGCGCACACACACACACACACACACACAGACACATACACACACGCACACACACACACACA